GCTCAATACCGCGGTGCTTCTAGTATTAGTCATACATTATGATCATGCTACTCTTCATTTGGAGTCAATATTACCTTCCTAATAAGCTGCCCCTACATAATTTATATATACATGTTATAATATATATATATATTAATATATATATATATATATGACTCATATTTTAATATTTGTTAATTTTATCACATGCACTAACCATGCCTTGCTTTAGTATCACAGTGAGTAAAAGTCACAATAGTACAATAGAAAGTGATAGCAAGCTTTGTATTACCATTATTATTGCATAAGGTTTTTTTATGCTATATACCAATGACATAATATTTATAATAAATAAATAAAAACGTGATTATAGAAGTTGCCTATAAATGTAAGCTGCTCCTCACAATGATAGCACAAGTTGCACTAACTAAATTATTTGTTTTGAAGACTACAGACCGAGAGACTATTATGATAGCTGATAGTTTATCAAAGAAGCATATTGTGGAAAAAGGGGCCGCTGACAACTTTGCAGAGTGTGGTTTCACTGGGTTTCGGTGAAAATTATTTATCAAATTGGTGTGCTGTCCTTGAGGTGAATTCACTGAAGGTAACTGCAGACCTTACTTAACCACTGATTCACTTATTTCAGGTTGTTCCAGCATCAATAGAGTACCCACAGGTTGTCGTTGGCAGGGAAGAGTGCAAACGCTTGGAAGTGGTTAATGACAGTAGCTGTGATGTCCATTGCCAGCTGCACGTCCACAACAATACAGATGGTGATGACTCTGGTACACCGCACATTTTTGCTCTTGTTTTTGTCCATCTTCCACTTGTTATTTATCCTAGTATACAGCTTTTCATATTATTTTTCATATTATCTTTATTCATTCATTCATTTTTTCATTCATTCATTCAATAGTTATTATTTGATTGGTTTACCAAAATTCAGCCAAAGCCTATAGCTATGATATGTACACGTGGCTTCGAATGCCTGAGGAGTAATACATTGTCTTCTTTGTCCATTAATCAGATTTAAATTGGCAACAATGACAGTTTCTCGTCAATATTAGGTGTTGATAACGGATAAGTTACCATAAAGATGTAATATTTTACGTTTGGCATCTATGTGTTTACAGTGCTTCAAGTATACATTGCACTTTGCTCTAGCTTGCTCTGGTACGGGTGTTTGTCATTGCAATTTCCTCTCGGTTTTCATTTCGCCGAACCAACCCTGCTTTAGCCAGTATCATGTGACGCAGATCTCTGAGAACCTCATTTACTTGCTTTATTCTTACAGCGAGGATTAAAGCTAGCAGAGCAGTTGCAGTTGCCGGCAATAGTAAAATAATGACAGCACTAATTGTAGCAGTCGGCATTCTTATATCCAACATTACAATGACTAGATAAGGTGTAACAGGCAAATAACTCACTGTCCACACGAGAGCGATCGTGAATTCTGTGTGCATTGTTTTACGGATGAGTTCTGCTCCCGCTCGTGTCTGTGATCGGTGGTCAATATATATTTTACCCTGCGCTGACAATGCTATCACTATGGCACCTATCAGCAGATCTGAAATCGTTACGAACAGTAGCAGAGGTGGGTTTCTAGGTTCCATCTCGCATTGTTTGTCACTATACCAGCAAGCCATATATTCTGACTGCAATGGGTCATCCCACCTAACGCCAAGCACACCACCATATACACCACATAGGATGCAAGTCAGGCAGCCGCTGACGACCGTGATCGTTTTCATCTTACTGATGCTCATTAGATGCAGGTGGTATTCTAGTGGCTTTCTCATCGCTACGTGTCTGTCTACAAAGTAAACGCCGATGTTTGCAGAACTGTACCAGAATCCGAGCACATGTAGCATGTGACTCAGCCAGCAGAACGCCTGTGAAGCACCAGCACTGCTGACGTATTGCAAGCACTTGCAGCCGATGCCGAGTGCTTGGCAAACATTTGCGCAGGCGATCAGGCCAAGCACTACGATGGGAGGCTTCATCTTCTCCCTGCGCACTTTTGCCGCGCACACCGCGACGATGCTGTTTCCGCCAAGAGCCACGCAGCTCAAGATGAAGCTGCAGACAACTATAGGCAGAGTGGCGCTCCGGTCTGCCGCGGCACATCTTGTCTCGCTTTCGATTGTCGTGTTGTCTGAGACCAGCATTATGCGTCCTCGTGCCACCTCACTTCAGTGTAGTTGTTGAATAACCAGCCTCCTGCTAGATCCTTCGATATCTTTCGGATCGTACTATATCTACTTATGATTCGTTTGGCTGTAGTAGTTAGAGACTCGGGCAATAATTTCTAATAATTCATAAGTAGTGTTGATTGGAGCAAAGAATCTAGGAATCCAACTGCGACATGCTAACTAACTGCCACAGTATGTATACGTTCACCACTGCTCTGCTAGTGCTGGCTGTCAGTTCGTCATTTCCGCTAGTGATTTCCGGGCAGCAAATACTCTCACAAGGAAATTCAGCATTCTAAACAGTCACCTCACAGCTGCTACACACTATAACAACATGACATCATGACCATGTCCGGTAGGTAGAACAGCATGCCTGCAAAACGTGCACACGATGGCATAGCAGTTATGTGCTCGGTTAGGCTTTTTAGACTCTTAGAACGCGGACACGATCTTACAGGGTGTTTTTGTTCACCTTCATTATCATTCTGACATCGCTGCCTGTCTCCTATTGATCAAGAGCGTGACATAAATCTTACATTAGGCGCACATTGTGTGTTTACCTTTGCTGTGCTGCGCGAGCATCACTACGCTGTGAACATGTGCATACAACAATTAATGCTTGTGCTATGCTCTGTGACAACCACTGCAAATAGGCTTTGTGTTTTTTTCTGGAGCTTGCAGGTGCTGAATTTGGGCTGTGAATTCCAGCAGTATTGCAACTTGTCACTGCAGTTATGCTGCATTTGTGAATTAAGCTGCCATTTGATCTTGGGTCGCAAGTTACATAAACATTTACATTAAATATCCATAGTTTATTTAGATATTTCCGATGTCTGGAATCATAATTTGTTCATTTGATATTTATCTCTGTCAGTATGGTAATGATTAGCGTATCTGGCAGTTGTTATGCTGGAAACCAGGAGACACACGCTGCCTGCACGCACTAAGCAAACGATCTACATGCTAGTGAAACCCTCAGGACACACGAAATATGACATTTCTATTTCTTACCAGCTCCTCACAACAGCAGGTATTTGTTTATATAATATTGCTGTAATTCTATTTAGAGGATTTTATTTAAAAAATAAAGAATTGTTTTGAAATTTTGTGTACATCATGTTTAGTAATAAAGTGTGAGTACCCATTATGTACTTGTTTGCAACTGTGTGTGCGTGCGTGCACGAGTTTGTGTGTGTGTGTGTGTGCGTGCGTGCGTGCGTGCGTGCGTGCGTGCGTGCGTGCGTGCGTGTGGGCGTGTGTGTGTGTGTGCGTGCGTGTGGGCGTGTGTGTGTGTGTGCGTGCGTGCATTGCGTGCGTGCGTGCGTACGTGCATGTGTAGTGTGCGTGTGCATGCGTGCGTGCATACGTGCGCGAGTTTGTGTGTGCGTGTGTGTGTCTGTGTGCGTCCACGTACTGGTGTTGTGAGTCCGTGTGTCTGTATGCCTGTGTATGTACGTGTGTGTGTGTGCATGCGTGTGTGTATACTTTTGTGTGCGCGTATGTGTGTGTTCATGCGTGCATCCACAAATGAATGTGTCTGTGTTGCCGCAATTTGATGATTTGAGTAGTAATGTGTATCGTCTACGTTTATGCCATAGGAGAGGATAGCTTCACAGTTGGGAAGCAACAGGATCTTTGCCATGTGCTTGTGTCTGGTGTGTTCCCTACCTTTGCTGTCACAGACGTTGCCCGCCATGTCAGTGACAAATGTATAAACAAGCAACAGTTATGGAAGCTATTCAACATCAACAGGTTGTGTATCATTGAATTGCGCTGTAGAAAAACCCTGTAAAATACGTACAAATGTTATATATCATCTCTAAAACATTTATAAGTGTATGTGTGCTGTGTTTGGGTAAAATTTCACACGCACTGTGAACAATACTCCATGAGTGCACTTGTAAGTGCCAAGTCGTACAGTAAAGTAAATGACGGGATAAAGATACTAAACATGTGCGATTTAAAACAAATTATGGACTATAACTACATTTAGAACTCCCTTTTCTAAACGCCATGTGTAGTGAACACTACACTACACTACTAAACTACCCTACAGGATCATGCAAGAATTAATACAGAATCACCAAGAATGAGTTCCTCTTGCAGCTTCACTCCACTTGCTCATAAATCAGCTTCCTTATATTTCTCTGCCACCTCCTCTTCAACTTCCAGACCAACATTAATTTGCCTCCTCTGTGACCTCTCCTACTTACCTTCGATTAATCTTTCACCCTCTTCAGTCCCATTCTAATTCTGCAAAGGGATTCGACTGTACATGGATACAGAATGTAAATTCAATATTCTTGGGTTAGTACCTACCTGAAGTGCATCCAATTAATGGAATATCAGTGATGTGAAGTGATCGTGTCAGCACAGTGATTTCTGTTTCAGATTCAATTCTCTCATGAAGCAGAATCCATTAAGAAATCTAGATTCATCCAAAGAGTCTTACAGATCCTAGTAAGTATTTATCAATTTCCCTATGATTGGGTATCGAGTGCTAACTTTGAGCTAATGCTGATGCTGTTCAGATTCAACAAAAATTATCAGGTGTTTTGTAAGCGCCAAGTGCCTATTGTTTTCTTGCAGCACACGACCACAGGTTGACTTCAACTTTACAGCAGCACCAGTGGGTGCAGAGCACTGTGTGGTGGAGCTAACATTCGCAAACTCTGCAGCCGTACCAGCGGAGTGGCATGTTGCTTCTCTTTTCTTTTATCTGCTGTTTTTTTTGTAGACGCAGGACTAAATTAGTCCCTCACGAAGAGGGGTGGGTCCTGCGTGACAATAGTCCTCAATCTTCCGCTCCACTCTCCCCTAGCTGTCACTCGGGTTGACTTGTACCAGGCCGAGTGTTACCCTGTCATTCTTCACCGTTCGGCCACGTTGAGCGCAGCGAAGGCTGGATAAACAACTGGAGTGCGGCACATCCAAGTCGATGGAGCGAGGGGACGTGGACGCCCAAGAAAGACATGGGAAGAGACTGTGAAGAAAGACAGGGTAGCACGCAGCCTGGTACAAGTCAACCCGAGTAACAGGGGAGAGTGGAGCGGAAGATTGCATGAGGACTGTTATCACGCAGGACCCACGTACCCCTCTTCGTGAGGGACTAATTTAGTCCTGCGTCAACAAATAAACAAGGATGATGATGATGATGATGATGATGCAGCATAAATAGCATCATAGATCATAGACAAGTTGTCATTTAAATTAAAAACTTAAGAACAGAAAATGGAGAATAAAAGATGCCAGAGGGATACAATGTCTTAATTTTTCTATGACAATTGCCAGTCCACAGTTCAATAGCAGATCATTAGTATTATCATTAATCATTATTACCAACAAGAAGGTTAGTTTTGAACATTTTAATTTTAGAATTTTAGTTACACATTGGTTTCGTTACAGGTGTTTCACATTTCCTAGTGAAGTTGGATTGGAGATCCCATATTGGACATCTTCATGTAATCAACAGCAGGTAAAGCGAGGATAATGACAACGTGCTTAGTGAATATAATATTTATATTAAGAGTTATTTTTCTTTGTGTGCCACATGGCACCATGTCACTCAAGCCTTCCAGATATGATTGTTCAGTGTCTGATCCTTCTCAGGCTTCTCCACCTGATGAGACGGACTTCAGTGTTCACCCAAAACGAGGGCATTTACCACCAGGTGGCAAGCAAACCGTCACAGTGAGGTACAGTCACAGAGTGGTGGGCACCAACAACCTTCCTGTATTGTTTGTCATCAAAGAGGGACAGCAGATGCTGGTAAGCAATTCAGAGTGTTAGTTATTCCAGGTATTGTAGTAAACGATCATTGTTCGTGGACTCTTCCTGGACAAAATTACCAATGCCACTTTATCAGGATAAATCCAATACCCGAGGAAAGCAGGACAAATCCAATATCAAATAATAATTGGCTTCTACAATGCGATGTGGTACTTGTTTTTGCTTTATAGCTGAATTTTGTTGGAGTCACGGTGCCCCCTGAGCGACCATACCTGCACATCGCGCAAACAAGCCACACGTTCAACCCACAGCCGATCGGTGAGAGTAGCTACCCGGTGCAGAGCTACGAGCTGTATAACGGTGGCGGAGTGCCTGTGAAGTTCTCACTGGACCTGCGCGGCTTAGATGAACTGCAGCAGGTAAATCTTTGCTACTTTATATGCAAGCAGATAACGAACGTTTATGTTGGTTGAATCATTGCATTTGCTTATACTGAACGTTTATTTTGAACCATCTAAGTTAACTGTTGTCTGTTAGATTTCTCTGGGCAGTTTTAAAACAATTGTTGTCTTTGAATTTTGCAAATAGTTATCATGCTAATATATGGTGTTATAATATATAGTGTTTTATCACAGACAGGATGGAGATAACACATATTAGTATTATTATGTAATAATCATTTGTGTTATTTATAAAATTATGCTTAATATGTTTGCAGGAGAACTATCAGTATGAGATAGTTGCATGCTTGACCCCTAAAGGTGAGATTCAGCCAGGCTGCAAGGCAGCTGTTAAGTGGAGGTTTGCACCGCTGGAAGCCAAAACCTACTCTGTACGTTCAGACATAAAGTAAAAAATCAATATGATCTGAAATGTTACTGTTATAATGTAATTAACGGCTATAAATGCTCTTGCTTCGCACATTAATATAATATACACACACAGTATTATAAAAGTATATTACTCACTTGTAGTTATAAAAAAAAAAATTGTCTTGAGTAAAGTTGTCTGTTTGAATATGATTCATTTGAAGTTACATGAGTGTAACTTCGTGCACTACTCACAAACAATATTTGTTTATTCATAGACTATTATGATTTAACGTGGTTTATTATCGCTCATAGGGTCTATGTCTCACAGGGTACTGCCGGAACGTACCCTGGGTACGGTCCGGTATACCGGAACGTACCCTGTGCTCAGTGCTACTGAGGTCGGCCAGGGATGAACGCTGCATGGCCGTGTCAAAATCATCGTTTACTGGCAGTCTGAAACATCATTATTAGCCGTGTTGCTTTGCAAGTTAGCAGAGGATCCTAAAACTGAAGAGCTCTTCTGACCTGATTGGTTCACCTATCGTAAGTTTTACCGGCTATATTTCTCCTCGACAGCAGTAGCGGTTTGGCAGTCTTCAATTCTCAACAAAGAATCGTAAATGGAATTCGAGCAGATTACACCTGAGAGGTTTTTTCTGGTGATATGTACACATTGCCGTTCATACGGGAAACAAAACGGGACCCTAGTGGGTCTTTGTTTAAACGGTATGCCCCCAATAGACTATTTTCTTACTTTTTTAGGAAGCTACTGCTTATCTCTGTGGAACTGTCTTCTGAAGGAGACCAAGCTGTGCACACTTGCAGTACACCGAGGTGAACAATAGAAGGAGCGGTGGATGTGGTATGCTTTTAAGCATCTCTCGAGCCTCTGGCGTATCCTCCATAGTCAGTCTACCAGCTCTTTCACTGCCTCTGTGTGCACACTACTTGCTATTGGGGCAGGCGCTAAAATAACCCAGTAGCAATAGCTACATTAATTTAATATATGATCATCCTATACGTTGGCCAGCAGAGATATCGCACAAATAAAATAATGATTAGTAAATATAATGCCAATCTATTGTTGTCCGTTAATGCTGAGAAATAAAAGTATATACTTTGTATGGACTGAATTCTACTTCCGGGACTCCCTGCCTAGTGTCTCAGCTTGCTCGCTGACTGTGATTTCTGGAAAAAAAACTTATCTTATAATCTTTATTAGCACAACGGCTGAATTAAATAATAAAGACAACAGAGATCAAAATAGTTCTATAAGTAACATTCGAAATTTTCTGTGTAGTAAATAAAGGAAAAACAATGATTTACTCTTTCTTCGATGCTATGCCACTTGAGTTATCTGTGATAGTGAATTCAGACTCTTTTGTTCTAACTGTCGCTGCCCACGCATCCAGTTTCTGCTCGTACAAAGCCATGCGCTGTTTCATCTTGAACCTATACATGCATAAACATCTCGTTTTACACGTATGAGGTATCATAATGCTTGAGCCCAATTTCCTACACTAGGAGTTAATGAAAAATCATAACAATTCATGGCAAGTGATATATGTAATTGGTTTATTTGTAGTAATATCAGCAGGTCCTACCTCACATACGATGTCAATTCATGTAAGGCAGGCACGTCTGTTGCAGTGAAGTGCACCGTGCATAGCCGGCACTCACCCTGTTTCAACATGGCCTCCGCTGGTGATATTGCGATAACTGAGGAATAACAAATATATGCACAGACTTTCCAATTTCCAACTAGCAGAATCTACGAGCAGTTAATATCACTAATGATGTTTGCATACAGTTTATTAAGTGACAATATGCAAATTGCATCAATGGAAGCTAGGTTTCTTGAGCATAAATGCTTGTCTGATGTCCTTGAAGCCAGAAAAAACTGTTTACATATAACTGTAATTTAACATTTACAAGTAAATGTCTGTCTACCTTGTTCAGCTCTGGAGACAGGAGCCACCGAAATGACATGCAATGGTTAACAGACGAGTTGGTGACAAAGAGCAAACGATGTTCCTGACTGAACAGGCGCATGTCTCCAAACAGCAACTTCTCAGTTGACATCTGCATAACCTGCAATGTGGTACGTTTCTTTCCTACTCATAAGGATTCATGAAATACGAAATGTTACGAAAGAGCGACTGTTCTTAGCCGTTATCAAAACATCAAAGTATACTTATATGATTCACACATCACTCACAATTATAGATGACGTTTCTTTTAGCAAAAAGATTTTTTTTACTTTATAATATTATTTATTTATATTTATTAATTCACAATAATAAAACTGGCAGCATTAATTCGAATAAGGCGTTGACACACGATTAAGGTAACCTGGAATGTGTTTACACTGAAACACACACTGCTTGATGCCTATAGCTTACCTGCTTGGACAAGGAATTGTTTTCCTCATACAATGGGTACAGGTTGAGGTCACACAAATTTGGGCACGTTTCAACATAACCTGTTCCTGAGAAGGTGATAACTGTAGTTTCTCCTCCTTCAACATGGATTGCTACTCCAACCTGCCACACAGCATATATATTAGCCTTTACTAATCGTAAGAACTGATAATAAAGCTGAGAGGGTCCATGTCCCCCAGGGTACTGCCGGAACGTACCCTAGGTACGGTCCGGTATACCGGAACGTACCCTGGTACTATCTAATATGCCGGACCGTACCTCGCCTACTCCACTAACGAGTCTAGGGAGTCGCCTACGCCTACTCCCTAACCCTAACCATATCAGAAAGTTA